CGGGACCCGCGGGGCCGGGCACGGGGGCGGGTGGATCCGTGGGGCTCAGCTCGAGTGGACTCCCGCGGACGGGTCCCCCGTGGCGCGGATCCACCGGGACGTGGATTCTGGAGGGGCATCGGCAGATTCCCTCGGGGCAGGACACGGAGGATGCTGCCCGCGGGGCGGGCAGGGTTGCCCGGAGCAGACAGCACGGTGGCAGCGGGCTTTGGCCGAGGCTGGTCCCACGGCCTCTATGGGGCTGTCGGACCCACTAACAAGGTCCTGGGAAAGGTCTGGGGGGAACCTGCCACCCATGTGTCCCACACCTGCCCCACACCTGTCTCCCAACCGCCGTGCCCRGGTATGCAGCGCCCTAGCAGCCGCTGGGCTGTGGGACCCTGCCAAGGTTCGGGTAATTRGTTAATCCGCTTAATTGTCCGGCTGGAAAACTGCCTGCCCTGTCAGGGCARTGGCATGGCGACAGTGCCACAAAGTCACACAGCTCAGGATTCTGTCCTGCACAGTGACACCTGCACTCCAACTCCCTGCCCGCACAACAGCAGTGCCTGAGCTGCCGATGCCTTGGCAAAGTCCTGTCACCACCATCGCTCTTCTCTCACCAGGGCGGCAGGGACATGTGGTGCCTCTGGTCCCCATGACAGTGCTGTGCTGGTAGCAGCACRCAATGCCCCACTCCTGCTCCCTGCCACCTCTCCATTCCTGGGGCATCGTGTTCATCGCCAGCGCATGGGGCATTTCTGTAGAGCAGACCATTCCTCTGTGGGGTCAGGACGCTGCGGCACCAGTTGAGCACAGGGTCCAGGAATTTGGACAATGTCGGYACACCAGTCCCCAGAAAGCAGGCAGGGCAGGCAGCTTGTCTGGGGATTAGTGCTGGGGAGGCCACCCAGGGGGAGAGTGGAGGTGACCCTGCACTGCACCCGGCACCGCCAGCACCGGGCACCACTGGATGGTCTCATCCTGAGGATGGTGCATCCACAGTGCTGAGTGCACAGTGGGACTGTGGGAAGGGAGCTGGCTGTACCCTGTATTTCACAGTCATTAGAGAACCTTTAGCACAAGGTAAGGGCACAGCAGCCATCTCCACATCCTCAGTGCTGTCAGAGGTTTCCTCCTCTGCCAAGTGAGTCATTGGCAGAGATAAAGCTGAGCCCCCTGCTCTGTGCAGCTGCAGTGGGCGCCTGCCTGCTGCCTGTACAGCCAGGGATGCTGGGGGGAGGATACAACCGGTTCTGTCACACCTCTGTGCCCATGGCCACCTGCGTGTCACAGACCACTGTTCTCCCCCTTCTCAGGGGTTCTCTCCCAAGAAAGCTCCAAAACCCCAGTTTCAGAGTTTCAGC